CAGAAGACTGAAACATGATCCAGACCTCATACCATACACAAAAACTAACTCAAAATGGATCAAAGACCTAGATATAAAACTTAAAATCATAAAGATCACAGAAGAAGAAACATAGGGACGAAGGTAGAGACTGTAATTTATGGTATAAGTAGACTTTCAAGCATAACAAACAACAAGAGTGAAAAGAGAGCCTATAGACTGGGACGAAACATATTGGCAGTAACATATCAGAAAAAGACCTAATTTCTAAAATTTTTAGAGAATGTCAACATTTCCACAACAAGAAGACAATCTGATTTAAAAATGGGCATGGGACATGAACAGACACTTCACCAAAGAAGACATTCAGCTGGCTAACAAACACTCGCTATCATTAACCATTAAAGAGATGCAAATCAAAACTACGATGAAGTACCATCTCAACCTAGCAATAGTGGCACAGATCCACAACTCTGGTTAGCCGTCAAGTGCCTTATGCACTGTACCTCCAGAGGTCCTTGATCCAAAAAACAGAAAACAACAAATGCTGGCAAGGTTGTGGGGAGACACACATTGTTGGTGGGACTGCAAAATGGTACAACTACTATATAAAACAATATGGCACTTCCTTAAAGCTAGAAATAGAAATACCATATGACCTAGCAATCTCACTCCTAGGTATGAAGCCTAGAGAAATAAGACCTGTCACTCAAATAGACTTATACGTGTCCATGTTCATCAACAGATGAATGGATAAACAAACTATGGTACGTACAATGGAATACTGCACAACCATAAAGAATAATGATGAATCTGTGAAGCATCTCACAACATGGACGAATCTGGGGAATATTATGCTGAGTGAAATAAGTCAATCACGAAAGGACAAATATTGTATAACACCATAATTATAAAAAGTCAAGAAAAGGTTTATGCACAGAAGGAGACATTCTTTGGTGGTTACCAGGGATGGGAAGGAAAGGGGGAGAAACAACTAACTAGATAGTACACAAGTAGTAATTAGGTTGCAGAGAAAGGCAATACACAACATAAGGTAAGTCAGCACAACATGAACAAGGCAAAGGAAGACACTGAGGTACACAGCAGTAAAATGTAAATGCTAAAATATACTATTTTAAATAAATAAATAATAATAAGCAGTTAATGCTGTAACATACAATTCTGCATCAGTGTAATAACAAATAATGGTTTGTGAGTAAATATATAGGTAAATATGTATGCCAAATAGATGAGGGAAGTCATACAGGAGTATACCCACATACATGTATAGGTATGATTGTGGATATTTCTACATACAAATTTGTAAATGCTGCATGTATTGTCATAGAGCACATAAGGGCCACAGTTATAGAAACTACTTAGACATCCAAACTAAACTACTGGACTTGAACAATAAGGACCATAGTCTTGGGGGCCATCTCAGCCATTTGGCAAAACACAGTTCATAAATATAATTTTCTACATCCTGGTCCGGTAAGTAACATCTGGGGTCTAAAAAGCTTGCAAGCACCCATTTAAGAAGCAGTTTTTGGTCTCTTCCTGCCTGGAGCAAAGGAGAATGAAGAAAACTGAAGACTCAAGGAAGCAATTAGTCCAAAGGATTAATGGCCTGCATGAACCACAGCCTCCTCTAACCAGAGACCAGAGGAACTAGATGGTGCCTGGCTACCATTACCAACCACTCTGACCAGGACCACAATAGAAATTCCCTGTTAGAATGGGTAACAAGTGTAGAAGAAAATTCAAATTAAAAAAAAATAAAAAAGACCAGACTTACTGGTCTGAAAGAGACTGGAGGAATGCCCGACTCCTGAGTCTACAGTCCTTATACAAACTTCTAACTTGAAACTGAAGGCACTCTGGAGCCCACCTTTCAACCAATTAATAGACAGGCCTATAAAACAAAAGTCCTCACCACTGGTCCTATAAGCAACATTACGATAAATGGAGAAAAGATTGACATTGTCAAAGTCTTCACATTACTTGGTTCTACAGTCGACGCCAATGGAAGCATCAGTTAGGACATCAGGCAACGTATAGCACTGGGCAAAGCAACTGCAAAAGACCCTTTCAAGTGCAGAAGAGCAAAGATGTCTCATTGATGACTAAGGTGCACCTGACACAAGCCATGGTTTTTTCAGTTGCCTCATATGCATGTGAGAGCTGGATGGTGAATAAGGAAGACTGAAGAAGAATTGATGCTTTTGAGCTGTGGTGTTGGCAAAGAGTGCTGAAAGTACCATGGACTGCTAAAAGAACTAACAGGTCTGTCTTGGAGGAAGTGCAGCCAGAATGTTCCTTGGAAGCGAGAATGGCCAGACTTCATCACACATACTTTGGTCACGTTGTCAGAAGAGACCATTCCCTGGAGAAAGATGTCATGCTTGGTAAGGTAGAGGGTCGACGAAAGAGGGGAAGGCCCTCAGTGAGATGGATTGACAAGGTGGCAGCGGCGATGGACTCAAGTATAGGAAGAATCATGGAGCTGGCTCAGGACTGGGTGGTTTTTCGTTCTGCTGTGCATAGGGTCACTATGAATAGGACACAACTCAACAGCACCTAACAACAACATAAAATAAATAGTAACACCCAGGAAGAAAGTGTTCCTTAGAACAATCCACTGTGTGAGACCCAAAGGGCAACATTTGGCCAAAAAAGATGAGAAGGCAGGAAAGGAGAGAGAAACTGGACAAGTGGAAAAGGTAGAGTGCTGACACATTGTGGGGATTGCAACCAATGTCACAGAGCAATTTCTGTATGAATTATTGATTGGAACAATAATTTGTTATGTATACTTTAATCTAAACCACAATAAAATGTTCCCCAAAAACCTATTTTGAATGCTTAGGGTTTTTTCCCTCCCTGCCAACTCTTCGCTAAAGTTTGAATAGTTGATGTTACATAGTGATTTTTTTTTAATTAAGGTATATATGCAACAACAACAACAAAAATACCAAAATACTAACGTATATTGGTCATTCTCTAAGTTTGAATTTGTAAATTCAACATTCTTTCTATGTATGTATTTGCCTTAAAATTAAGCTGAGTTGCCATCAGGTGGCAGTCATACATTAGGTAGGGCCACACAATACATTTGATAGGCTTATTTATTGTACATTGCCACAGCATGATAATCATTGTGGGAGAGAATATAAAAAGTATACCTTATATGGATGGGTACAGGGAGCTCTGGTAGCATAATGGCTAAGAGCACTTGACTGCTGACCAGAAGACTGGCGGTTCAGACCCACCAGCCACTCCTCGGAAGGAAGATGGGGCAATCTACTTCCATAGTGAAGTATAGTACATATATTTTTTTTTCCCATGCCTGGGAAACCCAAGGAGGGGTCACTATGAGTCGGGTCCGACTCGATGGCACATAACAACAACAACATACGGGTACATAGAATAAAGAAGAGGCTTTCTGGTAATGGAGTGTTAATGCAGGAGAAAGATAAGAGATAAGTCTTTCCAGCACAAGATTTGGAATTTTCATATCTATATTTGAATCTCAGTTTTACCACTTACTGGCTATATTCTCTTGGCCAAGTGATTAACCTCTTTGTGCATCGGTTTCTTCATATATTAAATGAGATTAATATATTAATAAAAACCAAAAAGACCAAACCTACTGCCATCATGTCAGTTCTGACTCACAGCAACTCCTGTTGGATTTCCAAGGTGTAGTAAATCTTTACAAAAGTACATTGCCCCATCTTTCAGCTGCAGAGCAGCTAGTGGATTTGAACCACCAACCTTCTTGGTTAGCAGTCAAATACCTTAGAATAGAGTTTTTAATAATGTTTTAGGAGTCCCTGAATGACACACAGGGTTAAGCACCTGCTAAAGGGGCAGAAAGACATCTTCTGACCTCTAACCCCACAAGAGGGAGACAGAATTACCATCAGTAGCCCAAGGCTAGACATGCTGCCTCCCTCCAACCCTTTTACCAACCCTGATTCCAACTGTTCCTCCCACAGCACTCACCACCTTTCTGCCTGGTTTGATGATTCACTGCAGTGGCCACACAGAACTCACAGATTATGGGATTTATTAGGGAAGCACCAGGCTACAATTCAAGTTCAGGAAAAATGGTTAGTCTCTCTCAGCCCGCCGTCTCTCAGCCAACAGTTTGAGGCTGGGAGCAGCCACTCTCTCAGCAATGTGTGTCTCTCGGTGTCTCTTTCTCAGCAGCATGTGTTTCTCAGGAGCTTATTTCTCTCAGCAGCATGTCTTTCTCAGCCAGCAGTCAGAGAGACCTCTGCCTCTAGGAGGCCTCCTTTTGAACCTGGCAGAATAGCCAAACTAGCCAATCATAACATCAGAATTCTAAGCACCTGAGAGACAGCGAACTTCCCAGAACATTGCTTTGTGCCACTTGCAACAGAAATACCCCAGGTGGATAACTTTTACCATCAGGAGCTCCTCAGTTGCTCACAGCAAATTCTACCACGGAGCTCATAAAGACTTATGGCTGGAAAAGCCATACCAGGTAATGTACTGCACCACAGCACCTGACTACTAACTGAAGGGTTTGTGCTACAAACTCACCCACAGGCACCATGGAAGAAGGATGATCAATACCTGGAGGATCACAGCCTTCAAAACCCTATCAAGCAGTTCCATATGCACACATAGGTTTGCCAGGAGTAAGATATTGTCAAGAAATGATAGTTATTATTGTAGAAATTAGGTCAGGTAGGAAGAAAGGTTGGTTATTTGAATCCATGCTATGGTTCTGTGGGAGAAAGACCTGGTGATTTTCTTTTGTAAAGATGATAGCCAAGAAAATTCTATGGGTCAGTTCTGCTCTGTCATATGGGGTAACTATGAGTCCAAAATGACTCAATAGCACTTTACAAAAGGAATGAAAGATTGATTCTCACAGGGAGGTATAGAAAGCGTAATAGAGGGAGTTTCTTTCCCTACCATCATTCTATGCCTGATTGGCTTTTAAATTTTGCCATGTTATTAATGCTTTATCCTTTGGAATTTTTTAGGTACGCAGATTTTCTGAGGCATTCTTTTGTTTTGAACATCCAAGAGAAGCTGCCATTGCATACCAGGAACTTCAGTGAGTAGCATAAATAAATCTAAGATTAAAATAATTTTATTTCCTTTTGCATAAGGTTTCTGTTTCAAAATTTATCAGTAACAGGATATACAATATTTATAATAGAAGAAATTAGGATAATTTGAGGTTCAGAAATTCTCTGTTTAATCAAGTTTGGTTTAATCTTATGAATGACTTAATGAAAGCTCCATGCTATGCATAAGAAACATAATACATGCTATACCTTATCTCATGGCAGATCTACAGTAACTTTGGTAGACCTGTACAGCTCTGGCTCCAACTTTCCATTTGGCCGTTTTATTCTATCTTTATTTTGCATACCAGGATCTCTTGCACTCATCAGTATATATTATGAATTTATACAAGTAGCCAGACTGCCACTACTATCTCTTATGCATATGACTTGCAGTTAGAATATCTAGAGTAGCTGCCTTCCATTTTTCTTACTGAGTATATTTAGGCCTGGTTTTTTGTTTTTTTTTTTGCTTTAATAAATATTTTGAAGGCATTATGCTGAGCAAAAGAAGTCAGACACAAAAGAGTAAATATTCTATGATTGTGCTTATATGAAGTTCTAGAACAGATTAAACTAAGATGAAAAAAGTCAAAACTGTTTCCTTGGTAGTGGTTGGAGAAGTTGATATGGGATGGGGAGTTTGAGAAGACTTAAGAAAACTCTAGTACATAAAATGTTCTGTATCAAACTCAAAATCATTTGGAGAAAAAAAAAGGCAGGGGAGGACCAGGTTTGCTGGTCCGATAGA